GACTTACTTTCTTCGGGCCAGTAGAAGTTTCCTCGGGAATCGAACCAACCATGTTCTTGTGAGTTCCCCATGTATACCACTCGGCTATCCTGCCACACTTTTGTGACCAAGTATGGTATATATGGACCATCAATATCTGACCACAAAACAACAACGAAATCGTACCATGATCCACAAAGTTCTCTGACTCCCCCATCACCTCCCAGTCCCTATCAAATTAGAAGAAATTTAATTCAGAGAAAATTCATTCCGGATTAAAAAGGGTTACAACATGGGAATAAACAACACAACATATGAAACCATTAAGAACGGACGTGTTCTCCTGCTATGTTCTATCTGTTTTGTCCTAATCCTCCCACACCGATGTCGCGATCACTAAAAGTCGTAGTCTTTAAATACGCTGAGTGGCATAGATTAGCCTCCATCTAGGGATCTGGTCACAGGTGGCCGTGAAAAAAGAGCTCCGCGTGTACGTACGAACTTACGCCCCGTACATTGTACGATGAACGCTACGTTTTCGTTTTCGAGGAAAGTTCAAGAGTGAATGTCTTGTATAACAGACTTGGAGACGAATATCATTTTTGGAAACACCTCAAAAAGCTGAATCGAACATATACGACACGTGACAAATGAGAAACGCAACCAAAAACGATTGAAAGAGGATTTCGGGTGGAAAATAGAAAAAATGGAGCAAATTGGTTGAGGTTTCACTAAGTTTTGAGCATTTGAAAAAAAAATTCGATCAGCAACACCGTTCGCTCATGCCTATTTCACGTGAAACGTGAAAAACGACCGCTCAGTGTTTTGAGTAAATGAAATGACACCTGTTCCATTTTCAAAAATCTAAAGCACGTGGAGCGGTGGTGCATCAGATGTTAACGATAGTACGAAAAATGCCGTAACTCCCCTCAAACTGAATAAAAATTCATAAAATTTGTTTCATTCGAACGCGGTGTCAGAGAAGAATGAAGACTGCCAACTCGCATGTGAAAGACAAAGAAAATCAGCTCACCCTCCGAACATTCAAGAATGAAACGATGAAAAATCCTAAAAAAACACAATAAAACAATCGAAAACAAACAAACAAGGAAAAAAACGTTCAAAACTTGTTGGAATTTTTCCAAATTTTTATTGGTCTCGACCCGAAACCTAGAGAGGGAAAAATTTTAAAATTGCAACGCTGAATGTAATAGATTAGCCTCCCCCTAGGGATCTGGTAACGTACAACAGCGAAACGTCTGAAGTTGAACGTATTTGAAAACTGCCGCGCCGTACATCGTACGACGTCTGCTTTACACGCTCCAGTGGGAAAATTCAGAAAAATTATCTTTCGTTGTCATGAACGAAATGAAGGCCCTTTTACCATATTTGAAAACATGATAAAAATCTGAAACGAACAAAAGTAGACAAAATCTGAAAGGAAAAGAAGAAGAAAAGAATGAATAATTAATAACCGAAGACTCGGCTATTCTGTCATATTTTAATCAAAAAACATACAGTACAGAGACTCTCATTTTGCTTCAAAGTCCTCTGAACCTCTATTACCTCCCTGTTCCAAAATCAAACAAAACGAAGATGAGCTGGCAATGTAGTCAATGAGACAAGGGAAAAGAAACTTTTAGAGATCAGGAATCTAGATTAGCAGTAAAAGTAAACTTTAGAAGATCTACCAAATACGTGAAGGTGATGATCGGGAACAGCTCTCAAGTTTTTATTTGATAACAGATGAGCTGAGTGTCGCAATTAGACCAGTCTAAAGAAGATATTCAATCACTCATCTCTTCGAACTTATAGGTATTCATTTCGAGCTGATGATGACTTATAAAAGATGGCAAAACAGCAAACATTCATAAAAGCTTTATTGTAGTTATCGATCAACACTGAAAAAGAACTTAAAGCATAGCTTTGAACATTCTTCCTCCTCCGACTAAAATAATGACTGCTCGGAACCTCATGCCTTCTCGTCAAAATTTGCTTAGTACTGTTTTCAGTACACTTATTCAAAAAAATATTAAATTATTAGCATCCAAACCTCAGTTTTTGGAAGTAGCCTGAACATTTATTTTTCTTAAACCACACCTTTGCAAACAACTGGGATCACGGACGGAAGCTTTATGAACCGAACATAACCAAGCTGTCGAAAAAGGTGTAGCTATATGGTAGGAAAATCATAAATAAAGTAGTGTTAAATTCAACAATCAGAAGATGCCTAAAACGGAATCAAAATATATTCTTCAGAAACTAACAACTTAGCTGTAAACAACAAGCTCGCTATCCAATCCAATGACTTTAGTTGCCGAACAAACTTCCATCCTTCTCTTCTTTACCAATTATTGTTTAGCAAAAAGTAATCTGTCTCCTGATATCAGACAGCTAGGCAAGATACATTTCAAACCAAAATAGGAGGTATGAGAGGTTGGTGAATTGATCCCTTGTAATTGACGTAGGCTTGGATTAACTGTTGTGGATGAGATTATTATCCGTTTATCTGATCAAGTTGGTGTTACCAACTAATGAGAAAGTCACAGAGTACTTACACTGTACAGGAATGACTCAAACAAAAACTAATAATAACTCGTAGGTTGTTGTTTACAAATCAAGAGTGAGAAATCAGAGATTGAATATCCCCTTGAGATGTATGGTTCCATAGCTACGAACTGCTGGGTAAAAGAAGCAGTCTAAATATCCGTAGAATCTAAAATTAGAAAAACAATACTATCCACCAAATCAACCAAAACCATTATGATCATCACGCGTATCAGGAATTTTACCTAGTCTTACCGTGAACGAATACTATTATTCGATTGCAAATAATGAATCCGGGCTCATGCTCTGAAGATCTGTGATATCACAAGATGAACTTACTTTTCCATGGGATCAACCGAATGAGCTTTTCCTCGTACCTAACCACACAGGTTTTCTTCTTTACCAAACTGAATACATCTCCACTCCTATTTCATTTTATTCCCGTCTGAAAATAAGTAACCGGTGGTGCTTTTCACGTGACGTGAACGAAAACTGAAGAAAATCAATCAGTAATCAAAGTAAAACATGAAGGGAACTCATAAGTTCACAAAAAGAAAGATGGAATTGAGAAGTAAGACATGATTTGTATTTCAATTCATGCACATATGCAAGTTTACACGGGAATGGATTATGCATCGAAAACTGAAAACACTGATTAGCGAAAGAAACACTTATAAGGAACTCTCGATCATAAGTTGTGAGATAGGTAAAAAAATCTGAGAAACCATTTTTTTTTGTATGGAAACATTCGAAAGTATGAGCTTATTTTATTCATCCAATATAGTTTTAGAATTTCGGAATTGTAATAGGAGAAATAATTGAGCATCAATTCATGAATATAATATTTCTACTTTAAAACATATTAACCTAGGATAAAATCATTCAACCAAAAAATGTTTACAATTTAAGTTTTAGAAAAAAATTCAATGTAACTTTCTGAATTTCAAAGCCGCGCTCTAATGACAACCCAGCTTACGGTATATTTGGACAAACCTTTAATAGCACATGAACAGTTAGAAGCCTGATTCGACTGGGTCAGGTGTAGCTTTATATGTGCGCAGGCATCAAATAGGTATATTTAGAAATTGCTCCTTGTGATCAATATTTTTTTTCAGAATCCTCTGTAAAAATGAGAGATTTCTATCCACAATGGCATGACATGCAGATTTCAATTCGTGAAGTAACTGACGAGAATGCAGAAACTGATGTATCAACGACAATTGACACCGAAAATCCTGAGCTAGTGCAATCTTCTTCTAATAGTTCTTCTTCGGAAGACAGGTGAGTGTTGTCTGTTGTATAAAGAAAAAACTTTTGATCTTATTCAGCACTCCCATTGTCACATTTCCATCAGATGACCACCCGGTGGCTAATGTTCCCAATAAAAACAGTTATGAGATAGTTTTCAAAGCGTTGGAGCAGGTAAATAAAGCTTAATTCATTGAAGTTCAAAGCAAATTAAAGGCAGAGTCGGTGTATAGTTACTGGAGTTCTCATCGAGAACATATGAAATTCCCAATTCGTAAGTTATCCTCGACACCTTTGAAATTTCTATGAATTATATTTAAGCAAATTTCCCATCAGTTGCAAATGAATGTGCTCGAGAGTATCGCAAACATTTCCGTGACACGGTCTGTTTCGAATTTATTTCCTTAATTCATTATTTCATTCTTACAGTTTCGTCCGAATTGTTATAGAGCTCTAACTGGAGTTCGTTCCAGAACTATTACCAAATGTCCTATGACTCATATTGAGTCAAAATATAAGATATGCGGTACTTCTCCTCTGGTAAAATAATATTTCACACTTGATGAGTCAAAAACATAACATGTTAAGAAATACCATCTACCTCTGTCTGTGCAAGAAGCGTTTTATGAAAACAGACGTAGCCAGCGATGGGTTCCTATTTCTCGGCGTAGTCCTTGTCGACGACGAGACCCTCGAAGAAGAAGTATGCAAGGCTTTTCATATAGTATGTGAGCTTTTTGTTTTCACGATCAATATCTTTTTCCTAGATATTGAGTTGTCCACCGTTAATGAAGCCGATAATGAATGTGACACTGAACACAGACTATTAGAAAATTTCTCAGCGTTAAGCACAAACCCCTCTTTGTACAAAGATATTCAGTAAGCGTTATGTCGTAGACCGTAAGAATCAATCATTTTTTAGAGTCCCCAGAAATGCTCTAGCCATACAAGGAGCCCCAAGGCCCACCAATTACTCAGATTTCGAAGGTTAAATATTAATTATCTCGAGAGTTTATTTCCATTTCAGAAGAGTTGTGTCTTCGGCTCAATCAGTTACCGGTAGTTGAACACGATCCTGACATAATCCGATCTCTCCGAAAAAGTTTGCAATCTTTCCATTTCAGTAATAAAGCTCAGAAAGAGTAAGTCCGGGTTCCTTCCGACGTTTTTCTCATTCCTCATGATATCGTTGTTGCATTTTATTGTCTCCGTAATCTCCCTCAGTGCATGTGTCTCTCTTATTCTCTAGAAAAAAGCTTAGGCGATCAAGTCACCTTTAATTATTTTTTTAAGTTTTATGGAATATGTTTGACAAAGCTGGCTTATTAGCCGTCCAAGAAAAATTTAATGTTGGTTAGCTTAGGCTGATTGTTGATTCGAAATTGTGCTAGCACAATAAAGTTGTAATATACGTTAAAACTTAATTAACTTAAAATGTAACATACGAACAGCTGAAGAACTTAGAGCTTACAACTGGTAAAAAATGGAAACTTACAGAGATCAGCTCGATAAATTGATTAAAATTACAAACCTATTTAAAACGAATGATAGAAGGAATTATAAATTACTAATATTTGAACTTAATTATACTTAGGTAAAACCATGAGGATCTGGACGTTATCCTCGACAAGTTTCGTGGGTTGCAGTGCTGCGTGGACTCCTTGGATCAAAGAACGGTGGTAGAAAATCTTTCATAACCTTTCTAAAGAATAAAATAGTTACTTCGTTCGCTTCTCTTAGACGACATACCCGCATGTCTTGCATGGTGTCTCGAAAACTTGCTGATATCGCGAAAACATATGCAACAAGCTCGTTATTTGAGATGGAGTCCTAAAAATCTGTAGGTTTGCGCGACATGTCTCAAGACTAACCATTTATGGTCTATATTTACAGCGCTCATAACTACTTGAAGCTGAATGTTCGCTTGAGTAGTGAGTTTTTGATAAACTATGTATCTAGATTGCATAGTTAAATCTACCTAAAATGGCATGTTGATGAACTAATTCTGCTCAGTTTAGATTACCCGGCGTGATCCGAAATCGTCAAAGAAGTACCATTCTTCATGAGGTGCAACGAAGCGTACCATTTCAATGAGACCTGAGTTTTCAACCACTAACATTTTTTGTTGAACAACAGGCTGCCTATCCACGATCAGTCCATATTTAATCTGTAATATAACAGGAGCTGTATGATGGGGTATGAAAGTAGGTATCTACTGGAATTGATTTCCATGTGCGTTATGTACCATTGTATCAATATATAGGACAAACTCACTTCGAAGATGCATCCAAAAGCCGATCTCTCCAATATTGTGGGCCACATGCCTACTTTTTTAGTGCTCAAATCAGCCTGAACCTGTCTGAGAGATTTTTCGAAAGATGAGTGAGGCGAGCTCACGCTGTCCCATTGAGATATCTGAAAATTCATTGATGATCGCATTTGAGACGTTCAGATTTCTTACTATTTGCTGTTTCTTTTCCATAGTACATATACGTCTACGGACTGGCATTTTCATGAACTCGCCACTGTAGTAGAAATAATTCTGAACTGATTCGTTCCAGTTCGCAGAACTGATGAAGTCTTCAAATGGAGAAACCACATGTACATCCATGTTGGTGTCCTGCAAATAATGAATATTATAAGTTATTCATTGTGCATTTACAGCAAGAAGACTCTGCAGCCTTTTCATAACTTCAGTTGTAAAAACTGGAAGTTTGTCTATACGCTCTGGCATATCGCGGAAGTAATCCTCCAGTTTACTGAAGTTAGAATCTATCATCTAGTATCATCAACTAATTCACTCACTTGAACCATTTTTCTACACTCTTCGTCTGGGTGTCTATGGAGAGTTGGAACTTCTTACAAGCTTGTTCATCGTTAGGATCGGGCAATGTCGTGTTGCTAAGCTTAAAAATTCATTTTAGGGAATCGGATGAGGCGATCCAACCTTTTTTTGAAGTCCAATCATGGTGGTACGTATGATTTTCACCAGATGTATAGCTTAAAAAAACAATTAATTCCAATGTATATAGAAGCTTACATTGTTGAACTTTATCTAACTCTTTGGCATTGGCACTTCCTGACATCTAAAAGATTTCTTTCATTACGTGGAATCAATCGAGTCGGAAGTATTAACACGTCAAAACACGTGCCGATAAAGGAACATATTGATTCAAATAACTTTAATAAATAAGATCAGTATTAAATAATTCAAACAGACAACGCAATTAAGTAACACCCGCATATGAATCGATGAAATCAAAACAAGTTTACACTTTTCACAAAGTTTCACCATCTATGAGCATTCAAAGCTTTGCACATGTCACGATCATTCCATGAAGAGTCCACAATGCAGCATGTCCATCTTAAATAACTTTTTATGAAAGGGCTTACAATAACACAATACCTGCTCTCCTCAAGTTCTTCAAACCAAGCATCACCATTTTGAATGAGTTCTTCATTAGCTTCTTCAGCAGTGGGATAGGTTATAGCTAAACGAAACTATTGTACTTTCCGATTTTCAAGAACACAAACAAGCCAATTCTGGAGGTTGGGGCGGTGCTGAGACTTCAACAGGAATGACTGGTCGCATTGGTGGTGGCATTTGCATCGACGATCCCATCATATGCATATCATTCTGAGGTATCTAAACAAATGAAACAGAGAAGCAAGAGTGACACAGACCAAGTAAGGTTGTTGCCCTTGAGCAATATGACTTCTTGGAAGTCTTTGCTTAGCAGCAGCTAATTTTAGAACAATTTCTCTTCCTCTAACTTTTGTGTGGTTCATTTCGACCTGAGGAGAAAATTTAACAAAAAATGAAATTATGACTCCAGACTAAAGCTTGTTGTTGTTCGGTTTGATCACCAAAGCGAACAAATCCCAATCCTCGAGAACTTCCATCTTGATTTCTATAAACTTTTGCGCCCCGGCAAGAAGGATATCTCCGCCCAAAAACCTAGAAAATTGAGTATGATGAGGATTAAAACACACAGACAAACATGATATAAATCAGCATCGTCTACATCTAATGCCAAGTTATTGGCGAACAGATTGTATTCTATAGATCTAAAATGACAGAGAGGATCAGGTGTTATATCAGTTTCAGTCTCACGGTTGTCGTATGTCATTAGCAAACGATAAGTTAAAGCGCACAGGAGGATTTGATCCATAAATATCTGATCCATTGGCATTTAACATGGCCTCTCTCGCCGAGTTGCTGTCTGAGAACTCGACAAAACAATAACCAGTAGGCTTAAGAGATTTAATTTGATTTTTAACGTTGAGTTCTTACTTGTCCGGAATTCTTGTCTGTGACCATTTTGACACTAATAGGCGTATGGCCAATACGCTGCAAGAAGAAAGCATAATTGAGTTATAATAATCTAAGTTACTTTGAAAGCATCAATAACAAAATCGGCATCCCACGACTTTTTCAGGTCGCCCATCCAAAGCGTTCTATGCGAGTCGAGTGGATTTGTGTTTGACATCTGTGACAAAACGTTTGAATTTACTAGAAACAGCAGAGAATCGTATGTAAGCTTGAAGACCGGAAACTTCTTGTCTTTAAGGTGTGCCGTCAAATAGAATTTAATTTATTAAGACCGGTAAATATAGCATAAATATTCTAATAAGTTAAGCGTCCGGATTATAAATAAAGATCTATAATCCACCAATGAATCCCGAACGTCGCGAGAATTATATCACAACATAATTTTAAAAACTGGGCTGTTGGAGCTCTGATATAGTCACAAAATATAACAAATCCCCGAAAAAAATAAGGAAAGAAATAAATAACCAGAATAGATCACAATATTTCAACAGGGCAATATAGAAATTGAAAACTCTATCACCTGTGGGGGGTCAACCATAACTAGAAACCAACTTAACATAGAAGAAAAAGGAGCACTAACCAATATTATATATAGATATAACGATAGCAAGACGCCAACACCTTATTTTAGAAAAATCACACATTTGTAACGGACTATGTAGGAATCACATCTAATTTGTTGCTTCAGAAGTATTATCGGCACCATGAACAGTAGGGTTTGATTCCCCACTGAATGGATCAACGGAATCGACGTCATCTAAATTATTCGGTGTTGCACAAAAAATGTAAGAGCTAGCGTACCTGGCATTGTTGGAATAAAACCGAATGAAGATGGAATGGGCATTGAGTGAGCAACAGAAGCAACTGGTACATCTGGAGCTGCAGCATTTGAGGATGCAACTAGTGGGTTGAAATAACGTGACCCCCCACTTCCTCGGGCTGCTCTTAATCCACCACCTTGGAAAGGAGGAGGAACACCAGGGTTAGAAACGGCAGCAGCAGGTGGAGGAGCCGGTGCAGACTCTTCTTCAACTCCTGCTCCCACCCATTTACCCAAACTAGCATCCCACTGAATCTGAAATTCAAACTGGATAAGCCACACAAAATCAATTACGTACAGCAGGATTTTTATCATCCGGAAGAATCATACTATTTTGGTCGGGAATAACTTTGCTTAAGAGCTTGCCAATGAACCCCCTTCCTCCTTTCTTAACATAAAATTCAGTGAGAGATACGAGATATTTCGAACCTTGTTCTGATCGTTAGCTTTATCTTGACCGATGGAGTTTTGTGGTAGACTGTTCGCCGGGCCCGGTTGAGTTACTTGTTGAGAAGGAGCAGCGGCAGCTGATGTAGGTTGTACCGGAACCTGAGCCGACGGTTGTGTTTGTTGAACTTGATATTGTTGAGGAGGCGGTTGTTGCTACAATATAATACTATGAACAATCACTTGCGAATACTTACAGGTGGATACTGAGACTGAACGACTGGAGGGTGTTCGGAATGATGTTGTGGAATTTCTGCATATTGAGGCATATATTCGTTCGTTTGTGGCTAAAAATCTAGGTGATACAGACTTGATGAGCACATCTTACAATTTGTCGAATAGGAGTGCTTTCCTGCGTTGAAGTTTCCGGAGTTGTCGTTTGTTCAGAAGAATCATTATCATAATGCCCCGAATAATGCTCATATCCTTGATAAGTGTTTTGCTGATTTCTACATAACTGTTCACCAAACTTCAAAAAAAAATCTTCAAAAGAAATATTTAGGAGCCAAACATACAGGACGTCCCATATTTTCCGACTTCTCGCAAGGAGTTGTGTAGTCTTGAATAGAGTGGTCGTTCATGGGTGTTACAGTACTTTGAAGAGGAGGAGCAGCTGACTTTGGTGTTATTTGAATTGGATCTTGCCTAGAGTTGTGCCAATCATTCGCTTCTACTACTAAAGATTCAGTTCGAGACCTATAGAACTATGATTTTAACAAAGAAATTTTATGGATAAACCTTGTCGATGATATACTTGCAGCTCGGTCTCTTGTAGATGGGGGATTAGGAGGGGTAAGAGGGGAACTAGATTCCGCCTCTACATGCTCCGTCTGTTGAACAGCATGACTTTGGTAATTAGTCATGTTGTGTTCTGTACCCAAAGGAACGTTCTCTACTGTTAATGGATTCGATTGAATTTGCTCATGAGCTTCCGTGTGAACTGGAGCTTGCGTTTCCGTGTGCGCTTGCTGCAATCCACTAGACTGTGGAAGATGGACTATCATTTCTCTCAAAGAATCTATCCATGCCGTTTCTTGCGGTTCTGCAGAAGCTGCATACTTCAAACTGGAGAATAAAAACATTGAAAGATACAAAAAAATATTTCGAACCGTTCTGCCAAATCAGCCAAATCTGACAATTCAGAAGCAGGAAGATTATAGTAGTATTCCCAGATAGATGAAGCTACAGACAAACAGTATCTAAAAATTCATAACTGAAATGGTTCTTCATGAAGAAAGCACCTGAAACTATCTGTGGTGAATCCACCAAAACCGGCCAGCAGCTGAGCGTATTGTAACCGTTTTCTTTGGAAGTACACAGATCTTTGTAATGGACTTTGTCTCTGAGCCAATTTAAGAGCATAGTCGAATATTTCAGTAGCATGCAAATCAGTAAGAGTAAACCTGAAGTTCATATGAGTGGAACAATCAATAACTTGAACTCTTACCCGAATCTGCATAAAGTCGATTCCCAATCATCATCAGGAAGACTAGCATGAATCAAAGAAATATGGGTTCTGCCGTCACTATCACTAGAGTAGAAATGTAAGAAAGGAGTCAAGAAATACGAAACGTACGAATCGGGCAAAGGTTGAAAGACATCAAAGTTCGAGAGTAAAGCTACAGCAAGTAAGCAGAAATCAGCGGCAGCATGGTATTCTCGTTTGGCTAGGACCAACCCTAATCCATAAACGGTTTGCCTCGCGTGATCAGTGTCTAAATTTGCTAGAACGATAGCGGCGTGCGTTCTCCAGCTTCCAGTATCATCAACAGGTGGGTTAGTCTGAAAACGCGAGTTAAGATGTTTTGAATCAATCACTCAACATACCAAAATTGGAGCTGGTTGACCTGAGGACACCGCCATCAAAGTCATCACTGGATTCGTAGCAGGTCTTGTAGCGAGGAATCTTGATTCGATATCAGACAGTTTCCTCATATCACCAGGGAAAAGCCTTCTCGTTAAAGCCATAGCGTCAGCATAAAGACCATCGTTCAGAGCACATTCAATAGCCTCTTCCACATGGCCTCTCAGCAAAAATTGCGAAAAACGCTCGAATCCATTAGGGTCTCCAGCTTCATCCCATCCTTGTGTTACAGTACTGGATGGTGTTGTTGATTTTTCCCGTCCTGTACTTGCACGACCACTCGAAGATCCCGCAGCTATCAGTAACTTTGCAATATCAGGACCAGTTACTCTCTACAAAAAAAAGTATAACAATAATCGAAGTAGAAAATCTCACTCCTTGTTGCTGAACAAGCATTTCCAGTAACTGCCACACTAACAGACAGTCCACGACATCGTTATCCAGAGGGTTCTCCGATGCTACTTCAGACATTTTAATTTTACTAATTTGGCGTTCAATGTAAAGGAGTACGGAATGCGAAGGAGTTTTCCCTTCAACGAGGGGTCCTGGAGGAAAAAATGAAATCAAGGATATATTTAAACTGAAAACCTCGGAATATTTGAGCTGCATCAATCAGTTTTTTGCTTTCGTTATCTTTAAGAACTTTTTTAACATCATCGATATGCACCGTGGACACAGAGATATCAGGTTGAACAGTTATCATCTTTCCACCAGGACCAAATGTAACGAAGGCATGTGGGGTGCGGAATTTTAATGGAGCTAAAAAAATGAATATAGATTAAAAGAAGACCGTTTCAGTAACCTCTCGCAACAGTATCAATGCTGAGAATATCTGAATGACGATCCTCATCTCTGTCTTCAACACTGGCTCTATCGCTAACACTGAAAAAAAACAGGGTGAACGTAGAACTGATAGCTCCCCCCCGAAAAGCTAGATTCTCTAAGGTATAAACTAAAATTATCAAAAATAACAATACGACAACACTGGATATAATTATAGCACAAAACAATATCTAGATGTTGTACCTCTTTTGAACAAAGTTGTGAAAACTAGCACTTAAACTGAAAAAAAGTGTAAAGGGATTCTTAAAAATCAGCAGTGTTTGAGAAGAACGTAATGGTGTGTGTGAACCCAAATTTGAGATTTGCCCACTAAACTCACTATTCGGGCATAGATTTAGACCGGATATATGACGTATGAGAATCAAAAAGAAAATTTGATTTCACACCATTATAATCGTAGGAGTCACTGAGACAATATTCCAGAAAACAATTTTAAAAAACAAAAAAACATACCCATCCGCACTATCCCTATCATCGCTGAACAGTTGCTTTTGACTTGCTTCGTAAGCTTTTTGCTGGCTCGAAAGCCGTTTGAGGTTATACTCATCATACATAGACTTGCAAATCTGAAGAGTAAAAGAATTAAAAAAAAGCAAAATTTTAACTGACCCGGCAAAGAGCATCATTGTCATCAAGACCTTCACATTTGAACTTATAAAATTCCTTATTGAACTTGTTTTGGAAGTCTCTCACATTAGCATACAACTTTTTATAAACAGATGCATAGTACAAGTAAGCAGCCTGCTCGTGAGATTGCGTGAGAACAGTATAATATTCCATAGGAGGTTGTAATCTCCGGAACACTTGTTCTACCAGCTTCTGAAAATCACATCTAGTTACGTAAACTTCTGAAAAAATATAACTACCGTATCTAAACGGAGCATCCCTAAATAGAAGGTGAGTTTTGGATGTTGCCATCTACGATAATCTGGTACTCGCACTGGACCGTTTTGCATAGGATAACCAGACATTTGGGGTGCCTCAAGATGAATCAGGTACTAAAACAGACGGCGTGATAACTCACCACATTATATTGACGCATCTCCATCTCACTTTCACCAGTTCCCTCATCATCGACGGAATCAGACTCATAACTTCCTTCCTCGTCTTCATCTTCATCTTCCTCGGGTGGATAATCGTAAACATCATAGTTGTTAAAATTGCCACCTTCTCGTTGATATCTAATAATACACTATAAACTTGCGCAAATTTTTATAAAAAAACCTTTGCATCGCTCTAGCATCAACAGTTGATTGAGGTCTTGGGTAATCGTGATACATTCTCTGCTGAGGATAGAAATCGGTTCCATATGGAACTGCACTTCGCCTTCCAGGGTGAACATATCTGAAGACGAAATTCATATAGAACAAGTATACAAAATTACCCAGGATAGTATTGAGGATGCATTTGTTGGTTATAGTTGTAAGGATTTGGTCTATACTGCTGCGGATTAACTGATTGATTGCTTTGTTCACCAACTTCAGACTTGGCACGACTAGGTGGACGATTTCGCGAGAGACGGCTTCTTAAGAAATAAATGTATTATGGTAGTGCTTTGAAAAATAAACCTTCTAGCTGCATTCACAAAATCATCTCCGTATCCTATATTTCCACGGGAAATATCAACACTCCGATCTAAGGAATTATCTTGCTGCGAATAAATTGAAGAATTCACTAGGAAAACATGGGTTAGTCGGGGCGAGACATGGTTACAACTTACATTTTTCAGCATCCATCTTATACATGCTATTATCTATACTACTATCAGCTCTCTTCACGGGTACTGCAACAGTGGCCGGACCGACAGCCAAAGCAGATCGTCTACCACTAACACTAAAGGATATTGTGAGGAAAATTGAAAATATAAAACTATTCTCTAACCGTCCCAACGAAAAACTTTTGAATGATTCAAAATTGGTATTTGCTATTGAATATTCGCTATCAGATAGCATACTATCATCGAAATTGAATAGTTATTTAAAAGGATTCCGGAATGATGCTTTAAAATATGAAAAGTTATTACCTAGTATCTACCAGAGGATTCTTCTTCAACCTTGGAGTCTCGACTCGATACCTATCTAACCTCTGAATAACTTGAGGCACGTTATTAATCGAGCCCAGATATCTTAATAAAGGATAAAATCTCGTTTCTGAATGCATTACTAACTTTTCCTTGACTCCTCTGTAACGTTCATGATAGCTGCTACGAGCAGCGCCTCTAGTGAAAGAACTTTGAGTGCTATCACTTTGTTCACCTGACAGTTGAGGCATCGTTTGTGATTGAGCAACACCACGATTAGAAGCGAGTGAACTTCGTCTCGCCTGGTTTCTGCAAAACACGAACTAATGTTTGAAAATTTTGAAGAAACTAACCTGGGCACATCGTGCTCTGAAAGCGGGGTGCTTGTAGCTTGAGCTTCTCCGGGACTTTCGTTATCCAGTGGGGTAGCAGGCTCAGGTGTAATAGCACTATCCGTTTGTTGGGTTGGGGCTAACTGTGCAGACACAGCAATGTTGGAAGATCTTAAAAGCAATTCAATCACCAAAAACTGGAAGGAACTCACTGGTCTGGAACGTTCACTGAGGTTTCCGGATTTTGTACAGCTGTTTCAACATGAGATGATACATTCGGCATAACAGCAACCATAATGTTGGTGGTGACACTACTCGAACTTTCTGTCTCGGCTACAAAATCAATGCCTTGTGCTTGAGGTGTAGTATATTCTGTTTGTGGTGCCAGTCTTGATGTAGCAGGTACCGATTCTGTAGACGCTACAGCTCTAGGAGCTACTGACACAGACTCGGAAGGCGGCGCAGCTCTCTGAACAGCAGTAACAGATTCTGGATTTAATGCCGCTACGTTAGATATCGCAGCAGATTCAGCCAAAGGAGTCGATCTTGGAACAACTGAAGCCGTTTCAACAATTGATATAGGCGCTGTCTCTGCAACCGGTACAGAAGATTGCCTTGGCACAGCTTCGGAAGAAGTTCTTACACCTTCTGTTGCGTTCTATAATTGGAAGCAATACTGACGGAATGATAAATAAAAAACTAACCAAGGTGCTGACAGTTGCAGTGGTAGAAGCACTTGTTACTGGCCGAGTTGGGGCAACTCGTTGCACATTACTCGGAGAATCAGATGATTGAGCAACAGGTTCTACCCGAGCAATAGGTTGGTCGATAGGCTAAAAGTAATAGTAATACACCTGAATTAAACTTCATACCTCGACACTGGTTTTCTTTACGAGAGGAGCGACTTGCGCAACCGCCGGAGGTTGACTTTCAGGAGTCTTTTCAGAATCTTCTAAATTAGTTAGATAGTTGTCATATATAATAAAAAAAAACCGAATTTAATTCGGCAAAATTAGTGCAAAGATAGCTGAAAAAATGGCACAACGTTCCTGTACACACAAAACTGATTTACTACGGTCAACGTAGCCGCTAGAATCAATAAAGTGTTTGTAGACAGGCAAACAGAAAAAGAAGTACATAGCGGTCAATCGATTTGAGAAGAAAAAGAGTGAACAGTCAGTATTTAATAAGAGCAGCTTGATAAGAAGCTTACCTTGTTTAATAGCTGAATTACTTGGCAAACTAGAAGGTACAGAACTGTCGCGAGACCAACTGCTACTGGGTGGTGGAGCGGTGGAAGACTCACGACCTTCAAAATACCAATAACACAGATTACAGAGTAGGAAACGTACTGTTGTCAGTGGAAAGATGTGGGGCTTCTTGACAAACCGGTTCAGATTGAGTCACGCTGGCAACAGATGAAGTCTGTAAGAAATTGGTTAATTAGTAATAAACCATGAAGATCTCAATGATAATTTTCCTGTAGGGAAGGTTATTAAATACTCTTAACTACAAATAAAGGATTATCACAATATAAAGTTACTAAACAAGCAATATTACTATGGAAACCGAAATCAAGCCTAAGATAATCAACTACCTCATGCAATGTATCACTTCGGTCGGTTCGATCCCAGTCGGCATCCCAAGCGTCATCCAGAGATGATACTACTACGTTGGAACTGTCGTCCTCCTTAGATGCGAACGTATCCACAGAGTATGTAGATTCGGGAGTTACTTGAGAATTGTTACAAGAATTTTCAAGATTAGGCACATCTTCTGTTACAACGATTGACTGCTGCCCATCCGAACAGCTTTCCTTATTCTGCAGAACACAATCAGAGTTGAATTCGAATGTATTAGATAGTACACAAGCATCAGCATTCGAAGCATGCTCTATAGAGGAAAGCGACAGAGGTTGGGTAGTTTCGGGAGAAGAATACATAGGTTCAGACGATTGACCGTTAGTTTGATCATTTCCATAAATCTGAGATTGCTGAGGGTAATAACTACAATCTCCTGTTTGAGTAACACAGTTAGCAACCATTTGAGGCTCGTAATACTGTGTGGGTGCATATTCCTGTTGATAATTTGTGGCACTTTGACCACTGTTGAAGTAGACATTCTGATTATCAACAACTGCATAACTAGAAACTGGAGCAATTTCTTGCTGCTCAGCAATCGAGAACAGCTGATTAGACGAAGTAGGTGGAAGACTTTGCTATAAAGAAAATCGTGCACAAAAGGATAAAGCAAAACATAAAAGACATTGACAGCTACCACCCCAGGAAAATAAAACAATTAAAATAAAGCACTCACTTCTCTGCTATGGGCAATTAGAGTATTAGATAGAATTGGAGCATGTTGAACTCGGGCAGCTTCTTGATGATTATGAGATAAACCCTACAATCACAATAAAAATAAAAATATATAGCTAAAAACCTGATTATTTTGAGAATAGTTAGCGGTATTATTAACGGAAAAATCCGAGCGTTGCTGATTTGCTGAAAAGAATAGATAAATACTTTAGACGGGAAGTAAATAAAACTGACCGTATTGATCATTTTGGTTATACTGATTATACCCGCTGTAAACAGCATTAGCATAAGGATCAGATTGAGCGTTTGACTGAAACATTATAATCATTTGATCAATTTGTGAAAAGGCCGAATACCCCGTTAGAATTTTCGTTATATTGACCCCATTGATACGGTACAGCTGGTGCACCTCCTAGGTTCACATAATCCCATTGAGATTGTGCTGAATAGAAACATTAGAAAAAAATGATAACAGAAGATAGAACCTGCTTGATCTTGCCCGGAATTTTGATCCCTATTGGTCAACGCTTGTTGCCAATACAAGGACATGAACCTATTTGACCCAGAGCCCTGAAGAAATGATATATTAACACTACACTGTTAATAAACGGAAGAAGAATGTGTTTGAAAGAAGATAGAACTAGGATAAGTTCGTAACCAAGCTTATATTATATTATCAAAGTGCAGGTAATAATCAAAACTTATTGATCGTATAACGTAAGATTTGGTGATCTAATGGAATCGGACTGCTGGCAACCGCAACGCATGCGCTCGCGAGGCATTTGCGGTTCTAGGCTACTACTGTAGTTTGTCAAAAGGGCGAAACTATGGAAACAATAGTTTCAAGTTCCGAATTTATGTTAATTTCCCCCCAAAAATATGGTTATTCATTCGAAAAAGTTAGAAGTTTTTTAAAGGAACCTACGTGATGCTTCTGGAGAATTTCGGTTAATTCGCGAAGTTTCGAAAAGTGTTAACTTTTTGAAATTAAGACCGAATCGAGCAAACGAAAAAATGAGAATGACGCTCTTATTCATTTTTGACGTATTCACGCGCGTATTGATATGCTAATGAACCGAGTTTTTATAATCGATATTCATTTTACAGGAGCATGGGAGATCAAATGGAAACTTCATCCTCTACACCATCGATTGATCCAACAACTATTCAAAACGTTTCAAATTTTAATAGTGCACTGACAGCTTTAGAAGATGCATTAAGACCTGTATTCGAACTCGATTTTGATCAACATAAAGATGTAAGTTTGATAAAATTATATTCATCTATGAAGAGCCTGCCAGAGGTCAGCGTTGGAAATGGCTCGAGCGGATTTAATGGCAATGTTTACACTCAATGTTGCTGGATGGACTATGTGCGCTTTAAAAGGAGAAGATCCTCAAGAAAATTTCAAGCTTACCGAGGACTTAGTAAGTCCAGTTAATAATTCAGTGAAGAAGCTTCTTATTCAGAAACGAACCAAAGAATACATTAAAAGATTCAAAATGATAGAGTCCAGGAAAACCGCACCTCGTGTCAATCCCACAGCCGCCAAGGTAAGTTAACTGAAAACATGTGATGAGAGGAAAACTCTTATAGAATTTCGTCCGAAACGCTTTATGGGAAATCCCCCCTACCCCCACGGACAGAGATGATAAAGCTGATGTAAGAATGCATTTATTAACAAAAAAACACAAGAAATGTTCTATTTTAGATTTAACTAGTCGAGTTTTTGGAAGGAAAGGCTTGTTTATCCTTGTTATTGTTGTTTTGTTGTTCAGCCTTTTTCCTTATGAATTTTTCGATGTTTCACAGTATTCTACGAATTTTCCTATCTCCTCACAAGACACGTTGGAGTAATACAACTGTATGAGACCACAGTTATTTCCCGCAAACGAAGTTATGTCTTTGATTCCGAAAGAATCTCCTACACTTTTGGCTTGGGCACACATATCCATCAGTTCCTCTTTAGTATACAAATTTCCTTGCAAATCGTTGAACACTTCCTTAATGGAAATTCTTTTGACTTTTATTGCTATTCGGAACTTACAGATCCTTGTAGTTGTGGCTCTGACACTCTTTGCTCTTGATGCTACAAAAAATTGAGTATTGAATAATACACAAATAGCCTACCTCTGAATAGGGAGCAACTTTCCGATTAGTTTGCTTTAGCATTTTCCCGCCTCTTGGCCTAATGTTCACTTGTTTCAGTTCTACTTCTTCGTAGGTGTGTAACGGCTAAATAAGATTTTTTATCTTCTGTTTGCGTTTCAATTACCAAAGAAGCAGGTGTAGTCAATAAAGTTCTTGTTTTGAGATCATCAGGTTCCTGTGCTTCTGTTATGAAGCTCGGCTCTTCATAAAGCGTTTCTGGGTTTTCAAAATTGATCTAAACGTGAGGATATCGAGAACCAATTTTGTTGAAGTTATTCACCTGATCATATTTCTTCTCTTCAGTATTTGTGAGTCCAATACTCACTCGTCTAAGAGCCTATCCACACAAAATATATTAATATAAGCGAAAAAAAGGTCAAAATCTTACCGAAGACGACAATACGAGAAGAGAAAGGATTAGTACGACTTGCATTTTACTTCTGTTAACAGCAAGATGTCATACTGTTAATAATATTTGTTTGCGAAGTAAGTTCAAGCCGGTTTCTAGCCGGTACTATGGAGGAGGATGTTTTTTAGATATGAATGCGACGAGCTTGTCTAAATAGGGTCTGTTCAGTGATTTGTGTCGGACAACTATCGAATGACCTCCAATCGACGAAATGAGAACGGTTGAACTTGCGCAACAATACTTCCATTGTTTTAACTTTAATTTGCTAGACATCTGATGGTGTTTAGGATAATCCTTATAAGATAAAATAAGCATATTCAGCAGGTAATTTGCATATGTAACCAGACATTTCCTCCATATGTCCACCTAATCTTCTCTGTGTTAAACGGGTCGAAATACTCATTATGGTGAAGTAGGGTCATGAACTGACACCATTCATAACCTCTCCTTTACTCATACTGAAAAGGTAATGTAACAATAAAAGAATTGTTCCAAAGGGCAATCTTCAGTGCCCGACCTAAAAAACGCTGTCAAAGAAGATAAGATATACCCATCAATATTCCAATGAACAAAGGGATGAAAGGAGAGAAACGGAGACTATTATAAGAAACTTTATTGTAAAAAATACTGGACAGATTGAACTACACTTACTGAGTTCGAGAATTTACCACGATTATAGGTGAGTATATAAGATTAATATAACAGTTGGAAAAGTTTGCAAACTGTGAGATCTCTGGCGAAAGATATATGAATAGTTCGAAGTCTACACTTCATTATCTTCATCAACAGAGAAGACGCACAGATCCAAAATATACACGGAATATAGCATGGAGAAATAATCAGAAAGGCTGGAGCTACCCATGGAATTACAACAGTTGCCGGATGTATTCGAATTCTCACTGGTTTAATACAAATATAGAAGAACCCTTGCGCTGTTAAAATCACTGTTAGGCGTACAAGTATTCTCAGACACAAACAATTAAATTGTTAAAAAATAAGTTTCTAACTGTTAAAAACTTAATTCCCTCCACCAACAGTAAGTTTCCCAAGCACTGATTCGATTTACTGAAACAGAATAGTTAGAATGGTTGATTGCTATGCAAACCTCTTCGGGGGTTTCCTTAGATTTCTTAGGTTCGACCCCGATACCATCAATTTCCATAGTCTCGGCCGCTCGTTTCGCAGAGTGCTCATTGCGTCTGAATAAAACGAAGTTAAAGCCACAAAAAGAACAATTAATTACCGATCTTCCCCTTCGGTTTCTCCATCATAGAAATCTCCTGGATCGTCAGTAACACCATCCATAATGGAAGCTAAAAATGAAATCTCATGAAATGTGATAGGACAACGAACTCACGATGTAACCGTACATCTGGATTAGCCATGTCTCTTCCAAGACTTTCATCGTTTAAGCATTTCAAAGCATCCTCAGGAACAACTGAAAAACAAAAGAATTAGGAAGTTGAAGTTGCAGACGGATACGAACTCTGCATTTGGACACTTGGCACAAAAGTGAGTTTGCTCAAATTGTCAATAATAAGTTCTCTGCAAAGACTATCATGATGGAAATAGAGAATTATGGAAACGAACTGAATTTTCCTCAGGTGTTCTGGGCTATTATCGTTGTTGTTCGATGAAGGCTCGATGTGCAACTTGTAAGTCGGTCCGAAATATTCGAAATAATCATTGTATGGGAGCTCTTAAAATTGAATTATTTATGAGGATGATGTATTAGCTTACCATCAGGAACATCTCGGCCAACTGCAATAGCAGTCTCATACGTCCAGCATCGAGCAACATTTCTTGGAGTGTATCCTCCGCCACCAACGAGCATCAATGGAACATCAAACTTCCTGAAGAACGATACGCATTCTCCGTGACCTAAACTTTGAACAAAATTACTAAACCAATTATAAATTTTGAGATCACCTTTCAGCGTAAGGTTGAATGGTCCCAGTCTATCACCATTCAAGGAGTCGGCTCCGCATTGAAGCACAACAGCACAAGGCTGGAAACGCTCCATGACTGCCGTCATAATCTACAAGAGAAAATAACCTCAGTGATATGAACATTCTATCAAGATGCTTACTGGCTTGAAGATGCTCTGATAACTTTCGTCAGTAATTCCGTCCTTGAGTGGTACGTTAACTGAATAAAGTCGTCCCTTTCCAGCTCCAATGTCCTAAAATAGAAGGAAAAATTTGAACAAAAACAAAAAAACAATATTGATACCTTATGATCTCCTGTTCCGGGGAAAAAGTCTCCGAACTTGTGGAAAGAAACTGTCATAACACGATCAGTAGTGAAGAAAGCCTCTTCGACTCCATCTCCGTGATGAACATCAATATCAACATAGAGAACTCTGAAATAAACCTCTAAACATAGTACTTTCTATTTCCAACCTTCTATGGTATTTCAAAAGCTCCAAAATACCAAGAACGATGTCGTTGGTGTAGCAGAAGCCGCTGGCTTCGCTTTTCTTGGCATGATGGAGTCCTCCCATCCAATTAACGGCTATATCGCATTTCCGTTTATTCAATTTGACAGCAGCCGCTAAAAAAATATTATTTCTTACTTAGACAGACAAATGAATTACCCAACGATCCTCCGCTACTCAACTGGCAGAACTCATAGAGACCATCGAATAAAGGACAATCTTCTCCAACATTGACTGAAGAAATTATTTATATTAGATAACACCTATTGCAGTAACCAACATTTCAACATTTGCTTGTTATACATCTTCAGATTATCCGGACTGGCACATTTCAAGAACTGAATATACTCTTCACTATGGAATCGAGTCATCTCGTCGAAGGCTGCTGGATAAGGACGCTGAAATAGAAGTTAGATTAACTATTTTTCTTCGAACTTACGTAGACTTCTAAATCGCGGTAAATTCCATAGTTAAGGAGCAAGTGATGGGTCATCCTTATTCGGTGTGGTTTCATAACATGACCCTGGCCATAGTAATAATTTCCAATGTTTGCTGAGAAAATAATTATGAGAATGAAATTAATTTTTAATTTTTTTATGCTTACAGTCATAGTAGTAAGCAACACGCTTCTTAGAGTGTTCCTTAACGCTTCCTGAATAAGTCATATCCATGATGCCTGCAAATACTCATTAGTATAACTCTTCAAAAAAGGAAATTAAAAAAAGAGAAATTAATCGGCAAGAAAACAAATGGAATACGAATTGATTATCATTATTAAAAAAATTTTAATTCTGTAAAAACATAATATTACAAACGTCTAGAATGTTCTAGAAAATTTCAAATATATTCTCGGTTATATTATACACATGGATAAAAAATGTGTACGCGAGCTCGGTCCAATTCGAGCCCGGGCACAGTTAAGAAAATGGTCTCGACCCGAGTCTAGCCCGGGCTCTGAGTTCCAAAATGGTCTTGTACAGAACTTGGGCTCAAGATCTAAGAAAAATCGTCTAAAACTTGGTGACCATTTTAGCGACCTCTAAGAGAGGAGGTCGAGGTGAAGCTCTTTTTCATAGAGAACACACCACGTAAATAATTAGACCAAAATGCAAAGTTCAGTTTCCCATATATTTAAATTTAAGCCTTTACACGAGTATTACCCAATCTGTACAAAATTATGTTCAGATGAATTCAGAAAAAAATTCAAGAATTTTTACACCATTTCGACAAGCAAACTCTAAGCGAGGCAGCTGAAATACAACGTTGACACTAATTTTGGAAAGAAATACTTACTTTTCTTAATTTTTTTTTCACTCATGTTGCTGCAAAAAAAAGCTCAGTTAAAGCATGTTACTTCAGCTTATTTTTGAGGATCCATTTCCAGCCAGAGTTAGTTGTACTTTTTTTATTTTTTTTTATTTTTTTATTTATTTTTCAATTTTTTGTTTTAAGTTCTAGTGCCACCTTCTCCGAAATTTCTTCTGATTACTGCTAGATATGTTGTAGCAAAAACTTTACGAACTCGATTAACTAATTTTTAAGTAAAAATTAGTCTTTGAAAATTTTTTTGTTATTGGTAGAGCAAATCCAAAAGCGTTTGAAGGACAATATCAAAAAAACCTTTCGAACGATATTTTTTTTTCTAACTGTATTGGATAGAGGACCTTCGGAGCTATCAAATGATGCAACACATATTATTGTAAAAAATATATAAACATGATAAAAAAAATAAAAAAGCAAATTTTGGGCCTCTTTCTGTGTAGGAAGGAGGGGCGGTGGAGACGGCGTGGGTAAATAGTGCGGGCAAAGCGTTGTCAGCGCCGAAGGACAAAAATCGATATTTGGTCCCGCCTCTTTTCTCCTTACCAGAATAAGACGAAAAGAGTCTTGGACATATTCAAAAAAGACTGATTTGTCGACCACAACGACTATTAATTCGAAAATAGAAATTTTTCTTAGAGACTCAAAAGAAACTTGAGGGAGAGAGACTCAGAGTTAAAGAGGGAGAGATAGAGAAAAAAACGAGGAAGAGAGAGAGAGAGAGAGAGAGAGAGAGTGAGAGAGAGAGAGAGAGAGAGGGAGGGAGGATATTGTGGCTCAGAATTTTTTTTTCCTCTGATTCATTCGGTTTGGACTGCGGAAAACGGTCCGATAAGATTGGAAAGGAAACAAAACTATGATGAGTAAATCATAAAAGAAATTTTCCTCAAATGATTCAAGAAAGAAAGATATTGTTCAACATCGTCATCACTGTTCAACACCTGCTATAATCCCATAAAGAGGCGGTCTCTGCAAGAGAGAAGAGGGATGGGGGACGAGTGAGAAAGCAAAGAGTTATCAAAAAAATATTTTCTATTCCATATAACTGAAAATAAATATAGTTTTTGGGTGCTATCATTATGAAAGTCTTTAAAAGAATGGAATAGGCTTGGCAACCGAGAGATAGATAAGATAGCATTTTTTTTCGTTCAAAATCATTTTATTGGAAAACGGAACGCTATATGAAAGGTAAAAGCGTTTCTTAACTTTCTTTATCCGTTTTTCTCTTGTGATGTGAGAAATCTCAAATTCAGCCATATGTCCGTTTCAAAAAAATCTAACCCAACGATTTTTGAGAAAAAATGCTGCTCTTCTTCTTATAATCTTAACCAGAGAGAGAAAGATAGAGAGAATGTATCGGAATGGATAGCTTTGTAAAAAAAGTGCGAAAATGAACAGAAAATGATTCGTTCACCAAAAAAACCAAACGATCAATTCAAATTTTGGAAGAAAAAAACCTTTTGTTAAAAAATTTTAACAATCGATATAAACGAATTTGAGAAGAAATGGTAAGAAAGGATAAAGTTCTAATAGCTTATTCCTTCAATTAAAATATATTATTAATAGAAACGTGGAAAAAATCGGTGAAAATGTCGTAATGATGGCCATGTCTCAGCTATTTGCTCTTTCAAACCATGCAGCGTGTTTCCTTATTGACATCAGGTTTTCGGGTTATATTCCCAGCAAATAATTTAGGAACATTTATCTCTTCTCTACTCATATTCCATTATGTATCTTTGGAAACAGTTTGTGATATGCAGAAAACACAAATGGCGCTAAAATTAAAAAAAAAATTTCTGATAGTTGATGAGCAAACTATATTTTCCCACCCAGCACCTTGTCATCATTATGTATCTGAATTTTTACAAAAAAAAAGAAACCTATTTGTATCATCTTTTGAAGCAAGACGAAGAATATCTGTCGTGTATGCATCTTTTTCTTTCATTGAAACTCTTATTTAATATCATAAATAAATATAGGAAGATGTCTGATTGAAAAAAATTTGGACAACCGCTCATTTAGCGCGCAAATGCGAAATGATGAACGAAACGCAAAGTTGACGTGGCACGTAAATCGCCATTTGCATAATTTAAACAAAAATTTTCAATGTTTTATTACTCGTTGCCTGAACTTTAAGAAATGAAAACATTAGATGTTTAAAAAAATAATATAAAAGCGAAGGAAAAACATAAAACGACGGTGAGAAAAAAGGAAAAAAAATCTGTGGAACAACCGTAAAGCTTCGGAAAATATTAAATGTCGTATATACAAGAGGAGAGTTAAGAGAGACAAGCTATCATTCGAAGAAGGATTCCTTTCATTCATATAGGAGTGAAAGAGAGAGATAGAAAGAGAGAGAAGGAGAGAGAGAGAGTTTGAGAGACAAGGTTAGAAAAGGAGAGAAAAAACAATAGCAATTTAGAGAATTGAAACTGCAGAAGAATCAATAATAGATGTTTTTTTTGTCCTTTACATTTCTGTGGCAATCGGCTTGTGTTCTGAGTTCGTTCCAGTACCAAATAGTCTACTGACCGCTCGACAGCGATATTGAGGAAGAACAGTAACCGTCAGAAGAGGATTGAGAATCTGCAAAAAAAAAGAAAAATAATATAGAAATAAGTAAATAGAAAAAAACGGAAATGAATGAAAGGAAGAAAAACATACTGCATTGACAGCAATCAGATAACTCATTGTCCACATTTCCAGTAAAGTTGTACAGTGTTTGACCTCATTCTAAAATGGAAGAAAGAGAATGAATGGTTACATAAGTGAATGATGAGATGAGAATCATACAAAATATGAATAGTCTTACAGTGTTCGCAGAATCCTTCATGGAGATCAGTTTGATTTGATAAAGTCGATAGGGTAATAGAGTTGCAGCCGTGAAGACTGTTGTCATAAAAATGAAATAGAAAGTTCTCAGACGAGATGCAATCGCATGAGAAACTGATGTCGTATTCATACTATATAAGGCTTGTTCTATAATTTAAATGAAAATTTTTATTTTTATAATTAGCTAATTACCTTCGGCTAATTTTTTTCGATGACTTGAAACTATTTTTAATATGTATAATGCTACCATAAGAGATGTTAATGTTGGAGTTATACAAACGGATATCTGAATATGATTAATATAATTAGCATAACAAGCATATATGTATGTTGTTTTACCGAAAACATTATATACATCATGGTTCGTTGAGGTAATAATGCCAATGTTCCACAATGATCCTCCACACAACTTAAAATAGCATTTTTCAATCCTTTTCACATACCTCTCTATTCATTATATTTCAATGGATAGATTTTTATTAAAAAAAATTATCTTTTTTCATACTGTAACCGGATTTCCGGTCAAGATTCATCAGTAAAACTTACTTGAAACAATCAAAGAACCAACAACCAGAAACAAACACAAAACAAGCGACCCATACGCCGATTGTTATTCGAACTCCACGTTTTCTTGTTACATATGATGAATAACTAAATTACATTTTTTATCTTTTTCTTTTACACAATTTCTTTCTTTATTCTTCTTTTTTTTCTCTTTCTCGTCCCTCTACCTACTTCTGAAGTGTTCATTTTATTGGAACTTTGGATTCAGAAGCACTTCTTTCATCACATTCTTTCCTAATTTCTCTCTTAACAACTCTTACTCTCTCTCTCTCTCTCTCTCTTAAGGATGAAACACAGTTTTGTCTCACCTCGTTCTCTCTTCCTCTCTTTCTCAAGTATTTTCTTAACCAGTCTCTATCTCTACTGCACTGTTTTGCTTTTTCTGTCGAATTTTTTAAAACAGCTAACAACTAGAACTCCTCTCCAGACCTTTTTGTTACTTTTTTGCTCTTCTCAAACATGTCTTCCCCTGATTAGCATAAGAAGTAAAACAAAAAGCTTTTTTGTCATTTCCTGAACATACCTCAAAGGATATTTGAAATACAAGAGTTTCTCTAAGTTGAGCAAAATCAAGCTAATACTCGATCCGGACAAAGCGACCCATGCAAGGAAATGCATTGTGACATTAATTTGACGTGGAAGATGAAAATCCCATAAAGCCGGAATATATTCGAGTGGATAACAAACAGCTGAAATCTTTTTTTTGTAAATTTTCAATAAAAGAAATCCCACAAGTCAATAGAAGATCGCCGATTGTCATACTAAGAAGGAAGACGTGAAGACATTGATCTCCGTTGCCTCGTCTGCAATTAAAATTAAAAAAATCTTCTTCTCTTCACTAATTCTTATAATCTCTCTATTGTTGTGAGGTTTCCATAAGCTTAAATCTTTTTTCATTATTATTTAATGAAATCGTCAATATGGGAAGGTGGGCTCTTCATACTCTCATGTCAGTAACTAGTATTCATCTATACCTTATATGGGAAAATGCTTGACGTATTACATAAAATTGAAGAAATGAACTGAGAATACTCAATATGACGACTGTGGAATCAGCAAAATGGACGAAAGAGAGAAGAGCTTGTATATCAATCAACTGAAATATATATTAATAGTTAGTATAATCATATATATTAACAGCTCACCCCGCTCGGAATACAAGGCTCAGTCTTGTTCGTTAAAGTCTCATTCTCATCCGATATGCTCATTTTTCTTAAAATAAATATTTTTTTTAATATTATAAATGTGATTAATGAGAAGCAGAAACGTGTAAAATCAGACAATTTTCATCATTACTCGTCGATGAATAAATGAAGAAAAGATATAAAAAGAGGAAATTGCATTGAAAAAAAGCAGTAAAAAGGCAAATTAGGAAGTGTATTCCCTCCCTTCATTCATCTCCCTTCTTCTCTCTCTCTCTTTCTCTCTCTCTCTCTCTCTCTCTATCTCTTTCCCTCTCTATGTATATTTCATCATCTTCTTCTGTGCTTTCAGTTGTACAACTGCTCTTTTCTACTCTCTGATAACCCCTAGAGCTTAACTCTCTTTTTTCTTTCTTCATTTTCCTTACCAACCTCTCGTATTTCCATACTCTTTCCATCTTTCAGCACTCTCATCAGATTCGCGGAATAAACAAATAAATAAAAAAAATTTCATTCTGAATAAGGAAAAAATAATTTCGACCCTTTTTAAATTCAAAAGAAGAGCGCAAATGAAGACGCGCAGAGGTGAGAAGAGCCATTGATTTATTTTTTTAAAAAAAGAAATAATAAATATAAATAAAAATAAGAGAAAATTCAACGAATTTTTATATTTAAAGAAGTAAACAACTGGAATGGAGGAAAACGAATTCTAAATATCAGCCTTTTCAAGAAAAATTTAAAAGAGAGAGAGAGAGAGAGAGAGGGGAAGATAGAGGTAGAGAGAGAGATGCGAAAGGAAATTATTTGAAGACAGGTAGGCTGTTTGAAGAAATGAAATCACTTTAATGAATGGTTATTTATATGATATAATTTCCATTAGATAAGCTTATAATATTTAAATATATTTTTGAATTTCCAATAATTTTGTTCGGAAAAAGGAGTTCAAATCACAAAAGATGGTCAGCTGCAGGATTTGTTCCTTTTCTGGCTGTCAATCTTTCGTCTATACCCTCTTCGCATATTCTCTATCTCTCGGTATCTCTCTTCATTTCTGCACAATTCTGTTTCGCATCATTCTCGTATCTTACCCTCATTCCTTTTTCTCTTTCAAGCTTCATATTAAAGAGAGACAGATACATAGATAGATGGATAGAGAGAGAGAGGGAGGGAGGTTATGAAGCAGCATAATGTAATATTTGTGAATCCAAAACATTCAAAATCTCTCCACAAATGTTCTGACATGCTAGAAAGCAGAAACCCTCTCCTTCCCTCTCTCTCTCCCTCTCCCTCTCTATTTCATCTCTCCTATTCGTTTTTGTCTTGCAAAAGTATGAAAAATATTGAATAGAAATATTAAAAAAATAATTTTTCAAAAATCAAACGAGCGAACTAAAAAAGGAGCAAAAGGAATGGAGATGTGAAGTGGAAAGAAATGAAGGGAGGCAATGCAAAGCACAGAAAATGCGACCGCTCTTCATGCCAGGTGTGGCGAATAAAATGATTTTTCGACTCACAAGCTGCCTTCCAATAGCAAAATACAAAAGATATCAGGGTAAGTGATTATGAAAATCTTTTTTTTTTCTTTGTTTTATTTCTTTTAAATAAAATATGCACACATGATATAGATTGAAAATGAATGATATTTATAGAAATTTGAGAAAAAAAAAGTAATTTTAGTCTTTTGGCAACAATCTGTATGAGCTGAGCAGGAGTTGTCAATGTCTTTTTGTATTTAGTTTTTGACAATAAAACAGTTTTTATAATAATATAAAAATGAGAAATGAGAGAGAGAAACTAATAAGTGGAGCAAATGAAACAGGGAGAGATAGAGGGACTGACTATGAGAGGAAGTGATAGAAGAAGCTTCACCTTTGCATAAGAAGGAAGGAGTACGACTACTAGCTAGAGGATTTATAAGAAATCTTATAAAAAGTTAAAAAATATTTTTCGCCAATCAATCAGGCGTGAAATGTGTCAGAAGAATAATTTTATAATTGCTTAAAGAGGAAAAATGATTTTTATGGAAAAAAAAGGTTTCGATGAGGAAAAGCTGAAGTTCGCAAAGAGAAAATGAGAACATTTGAACTGACAAGTTATTGTTTTTTCCTTTTACTTTATTGCTCAAAAGACCAAAAACAGACAAATTTCTTGAAAGAGACGGACGAGAGAACGACGAAAATCCATTTTTTTTGCTTTTTTTTCTAAAAAAGACAAAAAAACGAGATGTGATAGTATGAGTCTGGTGGTAAATGATTGGTTATGGTATAGGTTGGATGATGAAAGAACATCTTCGAATGCTTCTGTGCGATTGGTAGGTGAGTGGATGGAAGAGGAAATGAAACATTCACACACGTATACACATACACACACATACACATCCTGAGTGTCTAAAAATAAATTTTTTCTTTTTCAGTCTCAACTTGTAAAAGGTAGGCAATCGAGGCTTGAATCAGATCATTTTGGCTGCTTGTCCAGCTAGCACAAAACATATGATAAATAGTAGAAATTAATTATTTGATATAATAAAGAACTATGGAAACTTGAAGGATTATATGCTCACGCCAAATGACGGAAAACACTTTTTCCATAAAAATTCGTAAAAAAAAAAAAAGATCAGATTGATAGAGAGAGAAGAAGGCTGTAAGAGAATCAGAGAAGAGAGCAGAGAGCAGAATAAGAGTTTGACGGGAAGATTAGAAGGAAAACTTTATGATAATCCTTTTTTTCTTATTTATATGTCTCACCTTCGTTTCTCTCTCATCTCTTTCTTCCTATTTCTATCAGACTCTCTCTTTCTCTCTGTCTTTTTGGCATATACGAAGGAGACATATGATGGACTCCTGACTGCTTCCTTGTCATCATCGACCACCGTACTCCCTCAGGCAAAAACTCTTTATTTACTTTATTTTCACTCTCAACAGGATAAGTACAAAGGTTTTTCTATGTTAATAGTAGAATTGCAATTTACATTGAATTATATAAAGAGAAAGGGCAGTTGATAAGAGAAAATTGGATGAAATCTCGAATGGAAAGTACAACCAGACCGAAGTATCTGAACGTGTATGAGGAGATGAATTAGGAAATTTATTTTTTTCTGTTATTTTTATAACAAACTAACCCTTATTTGTACGTTGACAAGATAAGAGGAAGATAATGAAAAGGTTGCAATGAGGAAAAGGACGTTCAAAGCACAAACGAGCTGAGAAGAAGCGAGAGTGAGAGAAAGAGATGTGGACGACGAGCCAATTTTGGTAGTTAAAGTACAAAGTAAAATATTATAAATTATAAATATTGTAAATTTATATTCTAAAAAGAAATAGTTCCGTTCTCATCGTACAAAACTGTTTGAGAGAATTTCAGAGATTAAAAAATTATTTTACAACATTGCCATTCGTAACGTTGAGAGAAGATTCAGATGATCAAAAGTTAATTTAAGCCTTATATAGCCGATTGGATGATAGAAAGGGAGATTTCTTTAACAGAGAGAGACAGAAAAAGATATTTATATACAGAGGGAGAGAGATTGTATATAAGAATGCTAAAAAGATAGAGAGAGACAGAGAGAGTGAAAGAGATAGAGGTACTAATGGATTTCCTTGGATTTTGGGCGAAATTAAGTGATTTATTGGAGTCAAATAAATGTTTCAAGAAGATCATGTGAGTGATCATTGCCATCTCTAACAACTCAGCTATTCGTTTGTATATCTGTGGAGGGAGGAAAAAAACAAAACAAAAAAAAACAGGGAAAAATTGGTATAAGTCGCATCCTTTCCTATCTCATCCTATCCATCTCTGAATTTTCATATTCTTTAACTTGTAAAATAAAACTCTCTCAACGCTCTTTGAGCATACAATGGAAATGAAAAAAAAAGAGGAAAAAAAAGAAAGAAAACATGTGTGTGTGTGGAAGTGGGCGAGAAGCTGGACGGCCGGAAGCAAAACACGCCTTAACTTCAGCGTAATCAAGGTGCAATTGTATTGCACAAGAAGTTTATACTGTAAAATGATATTTTCCAAAAATGAAATTTGAAGCAGATGTTTATCAAGTTTTATAAAAAATTAATCTTCTTTTTGGGAGATTGAAAGAGATTCTTCTGATATGCAAAATAGTTTAATGATGGTGAATGAAGCTTAAAATGACCAAAGGCTAATCAAGTGGAGAAAAAAGTTTGAGAAAGCTATAAGTTCAATGTACTCTTGATTGCTTTCTCTTCAAACTTATCAGCATTAGTCTATCGAGAGTAGGACAAGCTGGCTGAAGAGAGCATAAGAGAGACGGAAAGAGTGGAAGGATAGGCCCACTTCCAAAGAGTAAGAGGAAGAAAGAGAGAAAGAGGGAAAGAGAGAGAGAGGTATACCAGAAAATTTTTTTTCATTTTTGTCCAAAAACACAAAGATAAACTTTTGAAATAAACTCGTTGAGGTAAAGAAGCCTTTCTGGTTCAAAATAAATCCAAAATACAGAAAAAAAAAGTTTTCAACACTCAGAATTTCGTAGAAAAATCACGTGAAAAACGTGGAAAGTGACGTGAAAAAAGCTATTTTCATTTAATTTAAAAGGAAATGCGGGCAAGCAGTTGATCAGTAAGCTATGTGAGTTGCCGTCACTTATATAGTAAAGGAAAGACAATTTTTTTTTGTCTTTCAAACAGATTTTAATCGTTGGCAGACGAGAGCAATTAAAATAAAACAAAAAAAGAAGAAAAATTGGAAAATATTGGTTCTGTTAACAACTGCTTTTGCATCTTTGGAATTGAGGTTACAACAATTAGATGAGTCTTGGTAAGAGAGGAATTTTGTTTTGTGCAATCGGCCACCCAGGGCTATCCATGAATAGGCTTGAGAGCGAGGATGGATGAAGATGGATCAAGTTGCTTTTATTTCTTAAAGTACTTTTAAAGGTAAAGCAAAGAGACAATGATATGCAGAGAAGAGCAGAGCAACTTTTTTTAATTTCATTCTTTGGAGTAGACGAACTGGAATAGGGAATGTGGAGTAGAAAAGACTGTGAGGGACAACTCCCTCCCTTTTTATAGAGAAATTAAGAAAATGAATGATCGTGGAGT